ATTTGCTGGGGTAAAAAGCCTAAGTCTGAACTGACCTTTGGCAAGAAAAAAAATTTAAAATAAATACATAAATTAAAAGGGTAAGAAATCAAACACATTCCAAGCAGTAAAACTGCATTTCACTCAAAATACCTTTGCTTGTTTTAACAATGTCTGAAGCCTAAATTGTCATGATATATTTGAATAGAACATGGCTTTTACAACTAAATGTATGACAATGATCTATCACTAGCATCATGTGTCTACACATATGACCTTCTGGTTGTCACCAGAACATGACTGATTCCCAAAAGTGTAAGCTGTCTAAATAGAGGCCTGCCTTTGAAGTTCCTACTTTCCAGCCTGCTCAGGCTGCTCTCCCAAAGAGCTGTACTGCTCTAATGACTTCCAACTAGGGATTCACCTTATTATTAGCATGATAGCTATGCTAATAGGTGACATAGATCCTGACTCATTGGATTCTAGCCTAGAGATTATCTGAGATCATCTAACACCAAATGTTTCATGTTAGAAATCAGAAGAGACCCTGTGAGGTCAATGTTACGCCATTTGGGTCAGAGCTAAGATTACCACCTCAGCTTTCCAATCTCTAGTCTTTCCTATCCTTGGATGGTCCCCATCACAGCACCACTAGACATTTGTTGGCATCTTCTTGCTCACAGCTGGTTCTCTACCACTTGAGCCATGCCTCCAGCTCAGCCAGCATCTTCTGGTATTCTCTTCCAGTTCTATACCTGTACCAACCATTTTTGGTTGACAAGAATGTCTTGTGTTCCAGCGATGCTAAGATATACTGTAGTATGTAGCTTCTTTTATGTACTAGAGTATATCTTCTTCAGACCAGTCCTGTAGCTGCTCTGTGAAGATACTCTGGACCCGATCTCTATGTAGAGACTCACTATGCACACTGTTATGGTAACTCCCTGTCCTGCAGATGGGGATCTTCATCCAAATCATTTCCCTCAGAACCATTTCCTGAGGTGATTCAGTTTTCAGTGTACATGTATAGGCAGTCATATTCGCTAGCTATTGGTATATGATCACTCCTAACTTTCTAAAATGTGCAAACATTTCCAAAAGCACTGAAAAATCCTTTCTTCTTTTACTTTTAAATTTGGGATTCTAATTAACTACTATTAACTAATGACAAGCAAACAGTAACGACTAAGCAAACACTAGTTTGGAGCTCACCAATTTTCACATTTCACTAGATGACTTAGAAAGAGTCTCTTCGTCCAAGCATGGTGGTATACATTTGTAACTCCAGTGTTCAGAAGACTGAGATAAAAAAAGGTTGAGAGTTTAAGGCCAGCCTGAACTATAAAAACCCTGCAGAACAAAAAACCCAAATCCAGAAATAAGTCACTTTTCAATATCAATGCTATGCTTCGTATTACAAAACTGTATAATTTTTAAAACTGCTTTTCCACCAAAGGCATTGTCAAAGTTTATTATTCCGCTCTGGTTGAAGTTGGCATTGAAATAATCCACCAGGCTAAAGGTTTTTGTTTTTATTTTTGCTGTATTATTATTATTATTATTTTAAGGGAGAGCTCTCAAACTACTGCTGTAGAACTACTTGGCTACTTTCTTTCTTGTGAGTATTGTTCTGTTTTGTGGTTTAAAAGGAGGAGGCAGGAACAGAGAAGAGAAGGTTCCAAAGGAGTTGGACAGCTCCAGGGCTGTCACCTCTGGTTTTGAGGCAACCTGAGCTATTCTGAACGGTTCCTGAGCTATTCTGAACAGTTTGAGCAGCTCCTGGGTGACTTCCCAGTGAAGGCTTGGCAGGCTGTTTTGAGTGCACACATACACTCTCTATGTATCTAAGGCCTTCTTGCTTTATCTTTCACACCAGAAGTTTATCTAGCAGTATCCAGGGCATATGCAGAACTGTTACTGGCCCCATACAGCAAGGACAGAGCCCAAGGCCTTCCTGTGCTGCCTCTTTGTGGTTCCTGCCTTTCTCTCCACTCTGCTCTGGGTAATAGTTGTTGTCAGGGACTTCAGGCCAGGCCTTATGGACACAGGATATAATGAGAGTTCTACAACATCCCTGGCCTCTGAAATGCTTTCTCTTTGGTGGTGGCAGGTCTTTCTTTCCCCTTTCAGAGTTCCATATTTGTACCTAGTAATCTCTCGGTCTAAATTAAACTGCTTATGTTAACTCAAGCAGTTTCATGCTGGATTCACTGTAGAAGAAGGTTACTACCATCCATGTAGGACAAAGCCAATGTTAGTTATTAAATAATTCGTACTGTATTCTCTAAGGGTGGCAATTACTGTTATCTTCCTTTGGGTGGTGATACTGCTCCACAGAGTTATACAAATGAGTTCCTTGCCAGAGGCCAAAAGCCATAACAATAATGGGACTTAATAGCTTTCCAATCCCTCCTTCCAAGTCATGAGGGTGTGGCATTAGGGAAAAGTGAAACAGATCTGAGTTCAAACCCTGCTACCACTACTTACTGAGCTGTGTGATCCTCACCAAGTTACTAAACTGTTGTGCGTGTGTGTTCTCCTGTGGAAGAGAAGGGGGTTCCCATGCATTTCATAGCAAAGTTACAAATGTTAAATGAGAGGACCAGTGTTCAGTACCTACCAAAACCAAGCAACACTGGTAATATCAACCATATATCATGCCTATTGGGAGCAGGCATGATAATCCTGAGTGTGACATTGTTCAACTGCTTGAATACTCAGGGTAACACTGCCACTGCATGTTACAATGGACAAACTGAAATACACAGGTTAAAGTCACTTGCTCAAAGTCACACAAGCATTAGTCCTAGAATGAGGCTAGTCTGACCCAGGGACTTAATAACTTCAAAGTATTTTTTTTCTCTCCTTCACTCAAATAATTGCTTGCTTCAGAAGCTCCATTATTCTGCATATACAAATTTAGGTATTTACTTTCTTAATTTGGGCATCTAATATAACTTGGTGTGCCCTCAGTCTCCACACCTACAAGATGAGTTATGAACAAGTCTTCTTTCATAGAATAATTGGTAGAAACCACTGAGCACTCAGTTCAGACTTCAGGCCAAAGTATTTGTTACATCAGGAGTAATGAACACTTGAACAATTCTCAGGCTTCCATGCTTGGGAGAGATTTTGTGGCTGGCTGAATCCACTAGTTTCAAGTAACTATACTTGTTCTCTGGCAAACATAGTGCATATTTAAAAATAGATGTTAAGTTCTTATTCAATCAATTAGAAGAAAACCAGATTCTAGTTAGAAAGAAATTGACCTAGGCCTATATAAAATCAGACCGAAAGCAAGAACATATATACTTTAAAAGTGCAAAAATAAAACAGAGTAAGTCACAGCAGCCTTTGTGGAGGCTGTTTAGATTTGAGAATTGTATTCCACCCACTGGATACATGCTATAGCTAATGGGCACACAGCTTGTAAAAATGTTATGGCTTGGTTAAAAAAAAATCTTTGGGTGATGCGGGTTAAAGTGACTTTACTCCCAATGCTGTTGAATACTAGGAATTTTACAAGTGGAAACGGGCAGCTTTTGTGAATATGTTGGACATAAAACAAACTACCACATTAAAGGAAAAGCTGGAGAGCAGACAGGGCAAACCAGCTTGGGGGAGAGCCCTTCTGCAATCATTGTTCAGGCTTTCTATTTAGGTGTCTCACACATTTAACTTTACAATAAGAAGGGGGAAAAAAACATAGAAAGGGGAAAGGAAACACTACTCTAGCTGCCTTTCTATGAACAGAATTTCAGGCTCAGATTAAGAGAGGGGAGCTCCTCTTATTGCATGTCTGCAGGGGCATGGCGCCCTTAGCACTGTGTTCTAGTCATGGAATTCATAGTGTAAATCTCTAGCAGATGACACCACTGGAAAATAGAAATTGCCAGAAATCCCTGGAGGCTCCCAAACTTCTCTGAAGTTCTTATCTGTGAGCCTTGGGGGGGGGGGGGGGGCGGGGGAGGGAGGTAGTCCTGTTTTCTGCCATGGGTTAAGCCTATTGGGAAATCTATGCTTTTTTGGAAGCCTTGCAAAGAGATTTTCAACCATCCTCTGACTACAGAAAGATGTATCATTTGTTTTACATGAGATGGCGCTGTATAATCCACAAACTGCCCCCTCCCCTTGTTTCTGAGTGCTTTGCTCTGAAGAGTCTGTGTCACACACATATCCAAGGAGTTCATTCTCAACCCCCCTGCACTACAGGTGATGTCAAAGAGAAGACTTCTGGAACTATCCAGAAGAGAAGAGAAGCTGTATTTTAGACTTTTCAGCTGACTCAGTTTAAGGCATTCTGCTGCTTCCTGGCTAGCCTTTTATTTTATGGGAGGAAATCCCCAAACTGGCTTTGCTGTTAAAATCGGGTTATCTGCTCCCCTCCTAATTTTTGTACTTAAGAAAAAAACAAAAACAAAAACCCAAAACAGTACTTCAGCCCTCTCCCAGCCAAAAACTTCACTGTGAAGCTAAGAGCTGCAAGTTGGAGAAGGAATCTTTGTCTCCCTAACACGTCCATCAGTTTCCTTCCCAAAGCACCCAGCACACTCAGAACACATCAGCAGCCCACTCCCCTAAATACATCAGGGCTGGAAAGATTCATGTTCTAAATCCTCCTGACATTCCTTTTCCCACCCTCATTTTAATCTACTCACTTTTATTTTTTAAAGACAAAATGTAATCACTTGACTGTCTTGGCCGGAGCCCACTCTGGGGCTTTTACTCCTTTCAACACAGCTGTGCTCTGGGCTTTGATGATGCTATCCACGCGGCTTGTCCCAGCTCCAGCCCGGCTCGGTAATGTATCATTCAAGTGCGTATTTATTTTTAAACTGACCTCTCCTAGACGGTACAGTATAAAGGAGGTCCTGCCAAAAAAATATGCTACTTTCTATTTATAAGATGAAACACATGCCTCTCAAAGGCGAGAGGAGGGGGTGGAGTATAGTAATTCATAAAAATAAAAAAAAAGAAGAAGAATGGCCAGATCCATTCCTCCTCCTGTGTCTAATACCCGTCTATGTCAAGACAGTTGCTAAGAAAGGGGGGGGGGGGGGATCTTGTAAACGCTCAGCTGTTAAGAAACCACAAAAGCAATGCAACTGCCAGATCTGTAGGTTGGCAGCCTCGCCTCCGTGTCGCCCGTGGAGAGAGCACCCAAGGGTGGGGACGGGGGTAGCTGCCACCACAGATGTGCAGGGTGCACCCCATGTGCCATCCGGGTGCAAATACACAACGGGAGGGGCGCGGCAGCCCAGTGCTGCTCGTTCGCGGATGGAAACACGCGATGGGCGTCCAGGAATGGCTGTCAGCCGTTCCAAGGGGGGCAGTGCAGCCGCGCAGTCCCACCCTGAAAAGCGGTGGGGAACAACGCGGGGGGGGGGGCGGGGAGGCTCAGCGCTCCGCGTGGGCCGCCCGACCCCCTCCCCGCCCCCGGCGGCATTTACAGCCCCAAGGCCCTCCGCACCCCCGCCGAGCAGGCGGCGCCCGGGTCCCCCCGCGCCCGCCGAGGTTCCCAAGCCTTTCGCGACCAAGCGCCGGAAGCCATCCCCTCCGCCCCCCCCCTCCCGGCGGCGCGGACAGGCGCGCAGGTAGACGAGAGGTCTGGGCGGGCACCGACTTACCCACAGCCGCCGAGGACCCCAGCCCCGGGGCCGGGCACCGGCGCCTCCCGCGGGCGCACGCAGTCCGTGCCGGTGGCGCGCAGATCCAGGCGCGGCGCGTGCTCCCGGCGTTATCCGCGCGGGGACCACACGAAGACGCTTCAGGTCGGCGTCCGGGTCTCCGGCGGTCTCTCTGATCGGTTCGGCCCGCTGCGCACCGCGGGAACGGGCAGAGGAGAGAAGGTGCGAGCCGGACTGAGCGCGCGGCTGCGGGACGAGCGCCCTGAACCTGCGGAGGGCGGGGCGGCGGGGGCGGGGCCTGCGGGGGGCGGGGCCCGGGCGCGAGGGGCGGGGCTGGCGCGCGGGCGGCCGCGGTACCTGTGCGCCGCTGCGGCGCACGCGCAGGGCCCACCGCTGGCGGCCCACGGAGGACAATGGGAACCCACTGTTACCTTCCCGGCGCCACCCTCGGGGGGGCGGGGAGTGGGCTCTCCGAAGAGAAGCCGCCAAGGCACAAAAAAACGGTCCCTGGGCACAAAAGAAGGGCCACGGGGCGCTGGGCTCACAGAGGGAGCCCGGAGTGCTGCCACCTACCCGTCCGGTGCCCGGGGACAATGGGACTCCGCCCGCACCCCCGCCGCTCGAGCCAAGCCTCGGGTCCCCGTCTCTCCCCGTCCGAGGAAGCGAACCTAGCGGTGTCAGGCTCGGACGCAGGGCGGCTGGGCGGGCGACGCGCGGGGAAGGCAGAGCCACCTGATGGCGACTCCCGCGTCCCTCCGGGCCCGTTCCCCCCCGCCCCCCCGGGGCCCGTTCCCCCCCGCCCCCCCGGGGCCCGTTCCCCGGAGACGGCGAGCGGGCGGGGCGAGGCGGAGCCGGGTCCGGGGGCGGGGGGGGGGGTCGCCTTCTGACAGTTGCGAACTCGCTCCCCTCGCAGCTGCCTCCAAAACCCGGAGAGCGGATTTAGCGCCCGGGAGACGCCCGGGGCTCCGATCGGGGGGCGGGGGGGGCTCCGATCGAGGGGCGGGGGGGGGGGGGCGGCGAGGACGCCGAAGAAGCGCAGACGCAGCAGGTTTTTCCTCCCCGGAGGGAGGCGTTCCCTGCCCCCCCTCGGGTCGAGGAAGGAGATTTACCTAAAGCTGCGGAAGCGGGTGGCGGCCGCCCCAGACGCGCGAGGGCGGAGGCGCGCGGGGCGCAGCTGCTGTCCCCGAGCGTGAAATTCCGCCTGCGGCGACACCTGCGCCCGTCGGTCATTCCCGCCACGACCCACTGCGCGCCCGCCCCCTCGCCCCGGGCCCGAGCGTGAGCCCGGGGCATTCATGGGTCGTTTTCTGCCTGAGCTTCCCTGCTTCGCTCCCTGGTGGGAGACAGGAAAAGGGTGGTGTTTTCCCGGCTGTGAGGTCCTAGCTAGCACGGTTAGCCTGGGGAGAGGGCTGGGACACCCACCCCCCACCCCCTTCTAGCAGCTCCAGTCGTGCACTCGGGGCCGGATCCCCAGCCCTGGGACTCTGGGGCAGCATGGAAATCCTGGCACAAAGCAGCCAAGAGACCTTGGTTTTGCAGAGGTAGTATCAGCTTCAGGTCTTCAAGGAGACGTCTTCAGGTCTGTTTGGAATTTTCGAGGGTGCACCTTGAGCCCAAGTTGTAAACCACGGTCTGTGTTCAAGTGAAGTTGAAAAGGAAGCGGACGCGACTGTTGTGGAAAGCAGAATACTAAGGTGGAGTGTTAAAAGCCTCAAGGAAAATAATAGTTGGCAGGTCAAACAGCCATGAGGTCGGAAGTCAAATAAGAAACTGCTGAAGTGATGCTAGAAATTTGACAAGCAAAACAGCCCTTGAAGATAAGAAACCCGGCCTTGTTTCCTTTTTTCCCCCAATGACAACCCCTCCGAAGTTTCCTTTGGCAGATACCTGAGTGCCTCCTCCAGATTCCTGAAAGTTTTACTTGGAGCTCATATTTCAAAATATATGTTCCATTTGGCACTAATGTATATATTTATGAATTTTTTGAAAAATATTAAATGTTACTTGGCATACTTTAAAGGTATTTTATAAACATCTGTGCATGTCTTTCATTACATATGGTAAAAGTACAAAGATGTGTGTGTACTATATATTTATAAATTACCACATGAAAGATTCCTTTTGCACACATACAAACATTCCATACACATATGTCATATGTATTTTTTAATTTGCTCTATTGTTAGCTGCTGTTAAAAGCACTTTATTTCCACATAACTAAGTAAATACCTTCTTTTACAGTTTCTGCGAAGCAGAGTGGCAGGTTGTTGGAGATAGCAATTTTATTCCAAACCCTTGTTTAAACTCTTCCAAACTATTCCAGGAAGGCTTACCTCCCTCTGATCTTTTTAAAATAATACTTTACCTCTGTGCTGTAAACAATTTATCAGAACCTACCCCTTCAGGGGCTAGTGGTGCTGGTCTGACATATCCTGGCATTTTTTTTTTTTATACCCAGTGTTGTTTATTTTAACTAAACGTCTTCAGGGAGGAAAAATATCCTCATAGAGTGAATTTTCCTTCCAAATGAACACTTTTCTTATACTTACTGAAATAGATTTGGACTTGATGAATTTACATGTCAATATGTTAGGAGCTCTCCTAACTAGAAAAAAGAGAAAGTTTTGCTTTAGGAAGATTTTAGGAGTGCTGAGATTTTGCTCTGAATTTAGGAAAGGTTTATAGCCTTGAAAATTTGGTGGTAACCTTAGAGGACTTAGTGGTGATTAGTATTTGTAGACACCTGTCATGGCCAACAGTAAATGCTTTTCTATCAGTCCTTACTCAGGAGAACAGCTGAGTGTTGGCAATGTCCCCGGTGCCGAGAAACTAGTCTACCTGGGCAGAGAACACAGGAGCAGTGTACACAAGTGCAGACTATAACTGTCTTGCTGCTGAGTGTGGCCTACCCCAGGTATACTCCATTGGAATCTTCATTTCATGAAGGATAAATGGTTTGTGTGCCCACTTAACGTTCACCCAGCCCAGGTTTATGCTTCTCCGCCTTTTGAGTCACCGTAATGTTGCACATGAACCCTTGGGAAAGCATAGAGAATCATACAAGTTGTCTCAGAACAAGGGTTCCCTTGAAAACCAAACTATTGATGGCAAGGAAACCCTGGATTAAACTTCCAGTCACCAAGCAACAAGAGGAATTTGTGGAATATTCTTAGGAAGCCAGTTGAGCCTTGCAATAGAAAGGAGTAATGAAGGGTAATTTGGGCAGGTGGAATGTATAGGAAAATGACCCAGGAGGAAAAATACCAGGTATCTATTTTCACATGTGTTAACATGAAACTGAATGAGAAGATTGTAGTTTTTCATAGCAGGCTTTCCTGGCAATTCCTTATTACTTCCAAACACTCCAAAAAAATTTTTTTTGTTTTGAAGTCAATTGGAGAATCCCAATGGGGGAACACAAGAACTCTATCACATGAGGTTTCACATGAGACCTCATGTCCTTCCACTTACCCAGTCTCATCTTCCCCACATCAGGCTGTTGCCTGGCCTACTCTAGCACAGTCTGCTATCATCTGCGTGGGACACTTCCCTAACTCACCAAAGGCTCCTTTCTCCATTCATTATGGGCTTGATTCAAAGAAAACTAAAGGAGAGGCTTTCTCCCCCCTGAAATAACAACCCCACCTAAATTCCCTTTCCCTGAATAAAGCAGAAAGAATTAATTTCTTCATGACCTGCCATGACATCGTATTTATTTGTATCCCACTCCTAATCTGTTTTCTATAATGTATCGACTTGAAGTTCTTTTGTTGCTCCTGTACCTAAGAGAGGGTCTGGCACATGGCAAGTACTCACATATTTATTGAATAAATAATCCCTTAACTACAACCAGCAACGAGTGTAAAAGCCTTGTTTACAAACCCCATAGCTAGAGATTGATATTATATTAAACATTCCTGGGATATACCACATGGATGCTGAGACTGAAATTTCAATCACTTCTTTTTAGTCTAACTGAACATGAAATACAAAACACATGGAACATTTTAAGTTTTAAAAATTCAAACATTTTAAAGGAAGGCTTACAAAAAAATGTCTTTATAGTCCATGTATAATGCATAACTATTTTTCTTCTGGCAAAGCTGAAACATATTCTTGTGTGCTCAGCTGGGGTTTTCCTCAAAAATACCACATTTAGGCTGCGCTCAAGTGTGTATGTTCATGATTATCCCCCTAAGTTAGAGTTAAGAAAAAAAATGTAAGAGCAACTGGAAGGTTATTTGTTTGTTGGTCCTTGTGATAGAACCCAGGACTTTACACATGCTAGACACAAGCTTTACCACTGAACCTCATCCCAGCCTGGTTAAAACATTAAAAGCAAGAGGGATTCTCTTAGCTTGAGTATCCCACTCTTGGTTACCCAATTAGAATTTCACCCATGGGAGAAATTATGCTAGCTTTAGCTAATGAATTTAGCTAACGAATTGCCAAATGCTGAAGTATTTTCTAACCAGTGATTTCCTTGTAAATAAAGGAGCTCCAATCACAACTTGGTTAGGAGAGTTCAGTTTCACCTAATCAAATACAACAGGAAATGGCATTAGAGGAGACTTAGCATGCATTCTGCAGGCCTAGTTCTAAGTTCTATAGTTCTAAGCAAGTCAGAGAGTCACTCACTATAGCCACCAAATCCTAGGACATTTTTTAAAAAATTTAGTTCCTGACTTCAGGGCAGCAACAATATGATTTATGGATAAGCCCTTCAAATATAGACGCAATTGATTATAAATAGAAACCAGTGATTAATGAAAAGCATTACTTGGGTTTTAAATGAATTTTAAAGTCCTTTTTACATTTTCATCCTCATTTGTTGGTTATTCATTTGTGTTGAATAGGTAAACCATTATTGTTAACACTTTTGCTTTGATGAAAGACAGAAAAGTCTTAATACCAGATCTCAAAAGTGTATGTTCATATCTATTTTCCTGCCATGTAGGGACTGCCTTGCTCATCTCTGTGCCTTTAGCATCTGGCACACTTCCTATAATAGAGTCTCTGACACAAATAAGTGTTGGATAAAGGAAGCATCTCCTAGGAAGCCTAGGAGAAAGGATGATACTTAAAGCTGCGATAAAAAAGAGCGCAGTGGAGCACAAAGCACAGGATGACGTATGGCTATGGAATCTGTAAATATCTAGATTCTCTGGCAGATGGAAAGATCTGAAAAATGTTAAATGGTAGTAAAAGTACAGGACAAATTCTCTCACGTCGGGGATGGGATCATAGAAAGGCTTGTACAACAGGTATATGGACATGCTTCAAAAGTATAAATGTGAGACACAAAAGGGATGTGTGGGAACCATCAATACCAGATTCAATCATGCCTTACTAGGACTTGAAGTGGGAAAATACTGAGCAAAGTATCTGGGAGGCTTTCACAGTTCAGATCTCCCATACCTGGAAGGTCAGGAAGCCTCGGTTAATTCCAGTAAACACAGATCCAACAGCAATATCTTTGTAAAAAGGAGTCTATTAAGCATGCCTCTTTATTCTGATGCTTGAATGTCAAAGGATCTTGCTAACCTTCAGATAAAGAGTTCTCTCCCTGGATTAGAAAATTCCCGGAGATGGCAAGCTGCTTGCAAACCAACCAATCCAAAGTCTAGGGATCACCCATCTCTTTGTCTGACTCTCACTTAAAACAGCCACCATCCACAGACCTGTACCCCAAACCCATGGCCTTAGCCTTTCCAGAGAAAAAAAGAAGCACCTCCCCCCAAAAAACTGTCAATTTTTAATTCAAGGAAATCCTAAAAAATATCTGACTATTACTACTCAAGACTGTCAAAGACATCAGAAATAAAGAAGGTCTTAGAAACTGTCTAGCAAACATGAACCTAAGGAGGCATCACAGTAAGTGTGATGTAATATGCTAGATTGGATCCTGAAAAAAATTAGTAATAATGGAGAAAATTTGAATAAAATATGGTCTTTTATTAATTATATAGATTATAATATTTCAATATTGGTCCATTAATTATTCCAAATGAAGATTAGTGGCAGATATTATGTATATAATAGGTGAAAGTAGTCATGGAGTATATTAGAACCTTCTATATTGTCTTGGTGAATTTTGTTTAAGTCTTTCCCAAACCAATCTACAAATTTAATACAATACTCATCAAAATTCCAATATCATTCTTCACTGAGATAGAGAAAACAATCCAAAAGTGTATAGAGAATCACAAAAAGGCCCAAATTGCAAAAGCAGTCCTGAGCAGAAACAGTAGTGCAAACTTCAAACTCTATTACAGAACTATAGTAATGAAAACAGAT